AAATATGTGTACACTGTACATGTGTGTATGTTTGGAGAATGAGGAAGGATGGTGTGAGACGTTGAGCTGCTGAGAGGAGTGGGAGGAGGAGGATGTGTCAGCTCTGACACAGCACTCTTCATCAGTTAAAAAGAGGGGGAATTCATTAAGATCATGAGCTGCTCTTACCCTTCTTTAGAAAACTCTATTTCAGCCAGCGCTCCATGCACTGTAACCACAGGGACATGACATCAAAGCATGGATTTGTTTGGCACTGTGTGTGTGTGTGTGTGTGTGTGTGTGTGTGTGTTGTGTGTGTGATTTACAGAGGCCCAGCGGCTGCAGTCACTGCGTCAGACTCTGAACCCAGACGGGTGTGTGTGATGCTGTGGTTCAGTGATGCTGTCAGTGATGCTTCCAAGGTCAATGGAGAGCTTATCAAATGTGCGTGCCCGTGTGTTTGCGTCCATTTGCAAATGAGAGCATGCATATGTCCTTCTGTTTCACCTTTCTCTTTTCTCTATAAGCACTACATAGAGATGGGTACACAGCTGCCTGCTTCCAGATACTTCTAAGGGAAAGTGAACAGACTCATCATCACACACAGTATTGTTAGACATTAAGGATTAAGTAAAGATTGTGTGTGATGATAAGAACATACACATCAGTGTTATATTTGTGTATAAGAGTAAGGATACGACAATGAGGGTAAGCTTGCTCGGCTCTTTCCAGAGAACAAAAAAAGATCAATGAAGGTGCATAGTCACTGGCCCAGGCTTTAATTTGGATATCGCCGGCAGGCTAGCTGTTTTCACCCACTTCCAGTCTATATGATTATATAGACTAACCATGACCTGACTCAAGTTTTGTACTTATATCTCAAAGTGCGTGCTAGACTATGCAGATATTTTAGATAATCCTTATTATAAATGACACTGGTGGCACTTGTGTCAAATAGCTTACTTCTACTTACGCTTTTATTCTCTAATAGTGAGTGGAAATCCACCAAAAGAGAAACGGGACCTACATGACACCAAAGCTTGACAGGTATCATATTATATATATATATATATTTTTTTTTTATCCCTGCACGGGTTATGTACATTTCTTGTATAAGTATACTTTTAATTGCACAGGTTTAAGTTTGATTAATCTAGGGGTAGTCTTTTCGGGTTAATATATATGAATGGGGGGGGGGTCGATGGTTTCTGGTTAATTTGTAACAAATGTTTCATGTCATGTACGTCTTTGTAACCTGCTACTGGATGCTTTGAATTTCTCTCGGGATCAATAAAGTATCTATCGATCTATATTAGTTCATCTAGTTTCCTTAGTAAGGTTGCATCATTTTTCTTGAACACTGATCCTCTTAATACAAAACACATAGTTCACATTAGTGAAGTAGGCTAGCCAGCTAACTTATCCACACACTTTGCATTTTGCTAGTGTTGGTAATGTTTGATTAGCAATACAGCAAAACCTGGACGGCCAACTGGAACTTGGCTACACTTCATGGATCTGGTAACGTTTGCTCTGAAATGTAACTGATAAAGTAATTTGAACGCGGCAAGGTTTCAATTTATGTGCCGAATCAACCACAGGAGATTTGATGAAAGGAAGTGTGACATATTTTTCATAAGATAGTGATAACATCTATCAGTGTTATCAAGCAGGCCAGCTTTAGCCCCCAAAAAACTAGAAGTCAATCCTTTAAGAGTACACCTGAGCAGGTCCCCATACGATCAGGGCTGGCATACAGACACAAACAAACATTCATGGTTACACTCATGGGCAGCATTAGAACGACCAATTGATCTAAGAGGCATTGGACTCTGGGAGGAAGTCAGAGTTCTACAGAGAACCCACCCATGCACAGGGAGGACATTCAAACTCTACACAGAAAGGCTCAAACAGGGATTCAAACCTTTTAGCTGTGAGGCTACACAGGTAATGACTGCAAGACCAAGCAGAAAACATGAAGGTCCTGCTATAGGGTTTGAGAACAAATCTGTAATGGAACCATATAGAATCAAATGAGCTAATAAGATCTTTTTCCAAATAATTAACCCTTCCTTTTTCATCTCAATAAAGCACTGCAAGCTTCACGATCCTGTTATTTGTACATATTGTGTAACTACAGGATGCTAATCAATGCTATGTGATGGCAGTAAATCAAATAGAAAATGACATAACCATTGATTCTACATCTTATGACTTTAATTTATGTCTCAATGAACTTTCAATTAATATGAGGATAAAGTCTTATCTGGGTCAACATAAAAAGGACAAAATGTTTCCTTTAAGGGAAACAAAATGATTGGACAGAATACCCTGAGCACCTGTACTAATATAAACATATCTCTGTGCATTTAATCAGAAACTGTTATATCCTGAGAGTCACAAACAACGTGTAGTTTCTCAATTATCACTGGTTTTCATTTGCTGTGTTCCCTCAGTTTCATCGACCTGAGCTGCAGCACTGTTGTGATTAAAATATGTGTCAGCTCATGTTGTAGCTAGCTCAGCCCCCTCATCCTTCAGCCTTACTTTCCGTTTCTCTGATGCTCATATACAGTCATGAGAGGGGAGGGTGAAGCGCTCTTTACTGCCCATCCCCCCCTTCTTCATCCTGGCTGCTACATCCACTGCTGCAGAGAGGGCCCATGATGGTGTCACCCTCCCTTTTCCTCCCCCCCATCGCCTCCACCAATCCCGTCCCAGCTTCACCTCAGCCAAACAGAGCGCAGGTGTTGCCTGCTGCGTCTCTGCCTTTACCTACTGGGAGACATGCACGCGTGTTTACATTGTTCTTGGAGAGATTCACCCGACACTGACAGCATGCACACCCCTGCCTTTAGACTAGCTGACTGGGTTATATAACAGAGAGTTAGCATAGTCTAAGTAATTAAATATTGCAGAACATGCCGGAATATTTGGTGTATGAAGCTGCATTGTGTGGTGGTCTAACCTTTTAGTCTTGTCGCCTTAAATAAAAAATGTAGCCTCAATAGAAAAACATCTTATCATATAACTACCACTGAGTTAACAATTACAAGACTGGGATCACAACTATGCTATATAATCACCTCACATATAATTAAGAACTTGGTCAAACAGTATGATTTCATACATCATATTACATTTAAAAATGCTCCAACTTCTTAGACAGGCCGGAGAATAGTTTAGTGTGGAAATGAATAATTTTATTACAATAAGATAATTTATTCTTCTATAATTACACATTTATACTGGTTAAATTCCTTATTCCGAGCAAAATGTTTCATAACTGTCAGATTTATTTACAGCCATAAGCTCTGGGTCACGCATCATTAATAGAGGAATGATTCAATACAAAGCTATATTTATTCATTTTCAGTCTAACCCCAAGTCCTGCTGAATGGCCACATCAGGAACATTTCATGATATATATTATATAATCTTTTTAGGATTATACTGCAGAGAACTACATTTTTTTGGGATGGCAATTATTGTTAGTCCAGTATCAAGGTGGGAGGCCAGATTCATAAACAGAAACCTTTCCACCCACCCATATCAAAGCAGAAAGACTCTGCAACTGAGGAGGTGTGTGTGTGTTTGATGGGGTGTGGTGGGGGCACACAGTTAAGAAATGTGATGATCCTCAAATGATTTAAGGAATTTGGAGATGAGAGAGAGAGAGGGAGAGAGAGAGAGAGAGAGGGAGAGAGAGAGAGAGAGAGAGAGAGAGAGAGAGAGAGAGAGAGAGAGAGAGAGAGAGAGAGAGATCATTCCAAAGCGACTGCGTGGATTTCTGTAGTGAAACGTGTAACCAAATCAATAAACCGGACAACAGAAATCAAATGAAGCAAATCCTGCACCATGAGCATGGCATGTTTGGGAAAAAAAATACAAAAAAATAAGAACGTGCAGCTGAAGAAATTGTGGGAAAATATTAAAACAAGCTTCTGGATGACTGTCTTCCCATTCAGAGGTCTGTGTGACTTCACTTGCAGGCCTGTCTGACATTAACACGACCACCATCACTTGCACCCAGCTGACCCTGCTGAGCAGAATCGCGCTGCGCCTCCATGTTCAGGCCTGCATCAGCACCACACAGCGACAATGCGCGAGCATCAGCCCAAATAAATGAGACTAAATGACTAAATGAGATCAGACATCCTCCTAATGATGCAGGATTAACAGACTGATCGGTAAAGGGCATGATGATGATGAAGGACATCGACTGATCGTTCTAGGTGGTAGCATGTGTGCACATAATGCGGAATTTCTCGCGTAGCGGCCTTTTTGATTTTTTTATAGATAACTTTCCCGTCTTGGATCATTTGGCTACAATCGACCATTGATGTGTAGCTGAGCGCAGCTTGATTCAGCTCTGAGTTACTCTGGTGGAGAAAGGGTGTTTTACGCAACCGATTCGTGCTACAGCAGAGGGGTGAGGCGCTGCTGAATCCAGGGAATCCCATGGATGGAGAGTGATTATATCATGTTTATTACCGATACACTTAAATTAGATGATTGAATAATTAGCTAACAAAGGCTTGAGAATTCTCTGTAGCATTTTACAGATCAATAGGATTTATGGTGCTGCTCCAATGCAGGTTATTTATGAATTACCGCTGTTTGAGATTGAAAGGGCGTGCATTCGCTTCTAGGCTTTCTGCAGCCTTCAGAAGAATTATGCCTTCATTTTCAGTGGGCAGTTACCGCTTGTTATATCCATTCAACTCTCCGCCGTCTGAAATACAAATACGCATCAGCACCGCAGTGTAGCTGAGACAAACCAGCCTCTGCAGGTTATCTACAGCTCCCACACCACACAGCTGTGGTTTGCAATGGGATAAAATGGAACATCAACGACACAACCTTCATCATCATCATCGTCCAGATGCACGAGCCCACATCCGCATCCTTCAAAATTACACACGCTTACATACACATAACAAACCCGCATGTAAGCACAACAGTGCAGCAGCTCAACACATCAAATAATAAACAAACTAATTAAAAAAAAAAAATCTTACTTTCGCCGACCACCGCCTTTAATCCGATAGGTGCCATGATGCTGCTGAGTCTTAGTACCGAGTGTTCCTCCTCTGCTTCCTCCCTCCTCTCTGTGATCACCTCACATCGCAGCGGAGGAGCCTCCAGAAGGAAACGTCACTGCGTATCCTTCCGCACCGTCCCCTCATTGGTGGTGTTGGACGTCGGCCTACAACTGCAATTTATTATCAAGCAGTCTCACAATATAGCATTGTACCTTCGACAAGGCTGAAATGAATCCCTAAATATACTAATGAATCCTTACCATCTTTAGAGAACATATTAAGATATTGATTCCAGAAGGATCCAATTCAGTTTTTCTCTGAAGGTATTTAGCATTTAAAAACAGGAAAAAGAAACCTCCCGTGAAAATCCAAAACCATCACCCATCTTGATATAGCTCTGCAGTTTTTAGCATATAAGAAATAAGCAGTAAAGCGGTAAGATTTAAAACTTTAAATGAGAAGACCTACTGCTTCGAATAAACTAATAAATAATTACAATTGATATGTATATCATGCATGCCACTGTATATAATTATTTAAATATAGTGACTAATTGGATTTGTCTCACAGGTTCAATCTATTGGTGGATTTAATGTAATCTGCACTGGACACAGAGCGAACTGAATACTGAACAGCAATAATAAGAGTGTCCAGTAGGGGCAGCAGATTTCTTTCTTTCTTTCTTTGTACAGGAAAACACACGGGCATTATTGAAAAGTGGTTTTATCAATGCAGGCCTCTAATAACCGTTTGAGGTTGGGGTTAAATAGTTGCCAATTGTTTAAAATGAATAAAAATCATCACATTACGTTTTTTTTTAATTAGTCAAATAGTTTAGTGTAATCTATGAATGAGCCAACTAAAGAACAAGGGTGCATTTTGAGAGTTAAGCTGAATGAAGTCGGACTAAAACAAAAGACACTCACACGTACAGTAAATATTGAATAGGTTATGCATATCCTTAAGCTCCTGGTTCAGACACCACCCTTGGCAGAGCCAACTGAACACGTCGGACCAGTGATGACTCCCAGAGGGTGTGTCCTGCTGCCGCTGTGAACAAGCCTAATATTCACCTCAAACATGCTCCTCACAGGCGGGGAGTGTTAGCCTGCGTCAGTCCTCCTCCTCCGGACTTTGGAGAAAGCGGGAGAGCAGAGAGTCAGCAGCGCCAGAGCAGTGCGCCTCTCCAGGGGGAAGTGAAGCAGTTTTACCAGCGACTCTGATCGGATATCCCTCTGTGTATTCACCCGTGACCAGTGGGTCTGCGAGGCTGTCCTGTAACCATGGGGGACGTTGTTTCCGCTCACCTGGATGAGAGCAGAAAGCAGATGATTACAGGTAAGAGGGGCGCAGTTTAAGACAGAGAATGACAGTTTCCCACGGACTAAAGTTCCCTAGAACTTATTTTATTCATGCTCAAAAAGCATTTGATCTTTCGTTAAAATCTGTAGGCTAAAAACTTCCTTGAGGTTTTATATTTCCCATGGTCACAGCTATTATATAATTCGTTTTTACTTAAATATATGAATGTATTGCTCATCAGTCTAGTTTGTAATCTCATGCAGCCTCAACACATCGTTAAAACAGTATTTGTAGTTGTATTTAAGTCTTACAAGTCTTTAACTTGTTTTAAAAGTTTCGTGAGATTTTTTGTTGTTGTTGATAGGACACATTTTTCTAACTTGGCTGTCATACTGACATGCAGAGAAAAGACAACGGATATCTCCCTGCAGAATTTGTCATGAGAAAAAAATGATGTAATTATCAGATTAATGCTTTCGCCTGAGATCTATCAGTATTTATCAGATAATCCCTCTCAGTTTATGTCACTTGTTACATTGGAGGACAAAGCTTGTCAGTCTTATCAGTGTATTGTTACTCTACTCAAAGAGTTGCCCTCGATCCTAATCTCTGTTGCAGGCCTATTTCTCAGAGATAATAAGTAGGTTTCCCAGAGGGACCATGCTTATGTACGTTTGGGACTGACTGCTATTTTAGTCGCAGAAGCTTCCCACTGTGAAGTGTGCAGGTCTGTGTGGTTATTTGTACAAGGCATGGACTGCTGAGCACAGAGGAAAGCGTGCAGAGCTAAGACGTCTATGAATCTGTAGATACTTCTATTACAACACAAGATAGTTACTGATGAAGTTGTTTGAGAATTCATGATCCAAGGTCCCAATCGTGGCAGGAAAAAGGGGGAAAAAAGCTTGTTTTTATTTTGGAGTTGGTATTTGGATCCTCCAGACTTATGCTTGGCAGAAAATGTTGTTTCAGAGGCATTTTGACCTCATTCGAGTGCCTGTGCTGGCGTGAATACTTTTACGAGGAAACCACTTCTGTCAAAGAATATGTTCTTGAGATCAAGGCAGAACCAGAAAGAGAACTACTCCTCGCTTTAAATAGGAAAAATAACATTGTGAAAATCTTTGAGTTTCTTACTTCTGTTTGGACAAAATTTACAATCTGAAGCCATAACTTTGGGTCAAGACATTTGCACAACTCTTCTATAAGTTAACAACTAATGAATGATACAATTAACAACAGAATTATAATAAACATACAAACTAAACTTGAAATATTTTCTGCTGAGTCTTTTTGAGAAAAAGATAGGCCCACACATGAAAAGATGAGTCAGTTTAGGAGGGAGAGAAGAAGATAAAGGCTGAAGCTGCAGGAGTGAAGCAGGTAGAAACATGTCACAAGATTAATAGGTGAAACTGCTGCCTGGCTCTCACACCCCCCTTCCTCTGTGTCCTCGCTTCCCGTTATTCTCTACCGGTCTTATGCTCTCTCTTGTTTGCATGTTTGAAGTTTGAAGTTGTTATGTGAGTGTGAAAGAGAGATAGAGAGTGAACACTACTCAGCATTTATGCACTGAGAGTCTTGTTTGAAGTCTGTACCCCCCAACGAGGTGATTTCATCATCTTTGTAGCCCTTGCACATTCTCAGAAACTAACACTCTCACTTGTGAGCCCACGCAACACAGAGCAATATGCACACAGAGAATTAGGGAGTGATTAGTCATGTTTTTTTACCCGTTAATAATAATACAAATTGTTTGTGAAAATAAGGTTTCGCTAAAAAGGCTAATCAGCTCTGTTTTGATCTTAATGCTGCTTCAATACAAACTGATCTAATTATCTCTTTTCACACTCAGGATAGTTTGCCTTATGCAAAGCTGACAATTCTCCTGACCCCACAATGCCTATCCTGTGTGTACCTGTTGTATTTCACTATTGGATTTCTCTGACTTTTCACTAATTGACCATAAAAAAACTGCATATTTAAGCTAAGGATAATAATTATAAGTACCTAAGGTCAAAAAGCAAAGATCAACTTTGTGGTTGTATTATCAGATCTGTGGCTGTATATCCACTTGGGTAAAGAGACCAGCAGAGCAGTCCACTGATATCCACTGATGCTAAGTTGATGGGAAGACAACCAGGCCAACCTGGTAAATCCAAAAGTGTACTTACGAGTGAACTGAGAATGTTTGGCCAATGCCCACCAATGGAAGAAATCTTAAAGGTTAGGAAAATGGAATCAGAAGGTCAGAGCTTGACTTATCACCTGCTTAACTTTGAGGTTCCCACCAACAAAGGAGGTCATCAAGCTTAAGCAGAAGCCTTTTGGGGCTTGGATGGCCCAGAGGACTTTTGAGGCAACAAAAGATATTGGGAGGTCTGAGGGCTGTGGCTTTGGTGGTTGCCAAAGCAAAAAACAAGGTGTTGGAGACGTTTCAGGGGGTTAGGAAGGATGTTTGATTTATCCCAAGGCAGTTATAGCAATAATAAGGCAGTGGAAAGGGTTCTTTGAGGATTCCCAACCCAACAACTATTTCTGCAGTTGAGCAGTCAATTTGAAACCAAAAGCTTCATTCATTCATCCCTGCAAGGAAGCTGAGGTCGTTTATTGTGGTATCACTCTGCTCAGGTCGTTTATTGTGGTATCACTCTGCTCAGTGTCCTCGAAAAGATTATCCCAGAGTTCTTGAAAGGAGACTCAGACCAATTGCCAAACCTCAGATACATCAGAAGTAAAGCAATAAGGACAGATCGTTATAGTTTGCTCATTCAATCTAGAAATGTTTTGTAGACTTAGAAACAGAGGTGTCAAGTAACTGAGTAAAAATACTTCGTTACCTTACTTAAGTAGAAATTTTGGGTATCTATACTTTACTGGAGTAATTATTTTTCAGCCCACTTTTTACTTCTACTTCTTACATTTTCACACAATTATCTGTACTTTCTACTCCTTACATTTTAAAAATAGCCTCGTTACTCCTATTTCATTTCAGCTTGTTTTCATTCAGGCTTGTCGTTGTTCAAAAAAACACAAAAAAAAAAACCTATCCAGGTTAAACCTATATAAATCCATAGACAGATAAATCACGCCATCCGGATAGAGTGAATTTGATTGTGGTTGGATGAGAAGTATGAACATATACCATTCCAACACCCTATTGGTTTGTACGCGATCCATCGCACCTGCACATGACATAAATCACGTCACACTCCAACAAGGAAATAGCAGACGTATGTAGCCTAGTACGAAGATGTTCGTGGCAGAGACAACCATACAAGGGTAATTGTTACTAAGGCTGCCCAGGGGTACACAATTTTCTTGTCCAGTTTTGTTATCTTACATCCGTTGCCCTCACAGATTCCTGCAGCTAAGCTTGGATGTACATTTATATTCCAATGAAGGCTATTGATAACATGCCTCTGAAGTTTGACTTTTTGCACCATTACAATACTTATAGACAACTAGTCATCATATCTTCTGCTCCATGAAACACATGTTAATGCTCAGTAGTACACATTGCATTGTACTAAAATGCGTTAATTTTCAATGGGCATAAATGTGGCTGAAACAGGTGCATCCCAAATATTTCAACATATTCATTTTAATATAACATTATTGTCATTATGGCCTTTAGAAAAATGTTTTTTTGGGGAGGTGGGGTAGAGCACTATAGGCCCCTGTGGCGCGGCCTAAGCATTTGTCCTTAATGGCATTCCCAGCCCCCCCCCCTTACATTACTTTTACTTTTATACTTGAAGTAGTTTTGAAACCAGTACTTTTACACTTTTACTTGAGTAAAA